ATTCTATGATTTGTTAGACTATAATATTTTACTGTTTATGTACAAGACTCACAGAAACATATTACCTTCCAACATTCAGTTGTTTTCATCTCTCAAATATAAATGCCTTCTATGTATTTATCCATTTATTTTTCAGGTGAGCGGACAGATGTTGGGTGTGTGGTCCTGTGTTTTGTTGGTGTATATTTAATATAATCCTAATCGCTATTTCAGTCTTTCTATCTCTCTAATTACTTCTCTCTGTTTTTCCTCTCTCTCTATTTTCTCTTCACAAAAAAAAAACATAATGGTGTGGAGGGGATGGCTATAAGGGGAGAAGGGAGGCCAAAAGAAAAAAAGAACCACCTTCTGCTTGTCAGACAGTTTCAGTTTCACCCGTTGTTACTGCTGAAAGCCTGCAGAAGTCATGGGTGGGGTGTGGGGGGAGCGCTCTGCCACGAGGAAGCTCGGCTTAAAGACAAGTCCCAGGGGCGTTTCTGGTCCCCACTTGTCATTTTGCTCCTCAGCATGGCTGCAGGATTTCTCAAACATGCATGAATGAGTCAGAGCAAGGCTTTGGGCATGCTTTTATGAGAGTATAGCATGATATAAAAGTCCAAAAAGTTGATTTTACATGATATTGCCCCTTTTAAAAAAAATTTAAAAGTTCAAAAGGCTCTTAAGGAATTTCAGAAATGACTATTTTGGGGTGGGGGGTGGGGGTATGTCCTACAGTTTCTTCGCCTTAAAATAAAATTGAAGCTGAGTTGTTTAAAAAAATGTGAAATTCGAAAAAAATTTGTGTGATTGCCTAATACTGTATGTCCATCTGCTTGCAATATGAGGGGTAAATCCGTGTAATTTATGAACAATCCGTCCAACATGTATGAGCTTTTAAACTTTAAACTATTTGATTTTTCTAGTCTTACTCCTGTAACCCTGTTTTCTCTACAGAATATTCAAATCAGAATATAAATTTGAGTTGTTACCCTAAACCGAGGTATTTCAGATTTTCTGCATGGTTACACGTGGGAATTGTATAGTGTGTTGTCTTCAGAACTGTGTAACATGGCACTAAACAAAAGCTTATAGATGTTTCAAAATAGTTTTATTTTCATTGTTGTTTCACAAATTACAATCTATGCAGGAACAACATCTTAGCTCTAAGACCAGGTAATTTAATGGCCAGAAGAGAATTTTTAATCAAGATATTACTCAGATTTGATCATCATTCTGGTGGCCTTGGCTGAATAAGGTGCAGGAGGTTTCCAGGTGAGCCAGTGGAGACCTGAAGCCCAGCCGATGTGTTGACCAAATGGRTGCCAGTCCCCATTTAGAGCAGCAGAGCCACACTTGCTGTACCACCAACCACCACCCTCYGTRTCAGTGCACTTAGCTATAGCGATGTCACCAAAKATGCATGGAGAGCAGCCATCGTTGTCCCGGTCRAYGGTGCTGAAGCCGAAACCGTTTTCATCAATGCCAGGATAGTCTCCACGGATGGCGTCACCTTTGGACAGAGATAGACTTTTAATRTTTTTTTTWAATCGAGATTTCAGACGGTTTGATTAAACCAGAATAAGTCATACAAAATTTGAAAGAATACCAATTCAACTGCATTAAATTACAATATAATTTAGTAATATTTTAATATAAACA